TACACATGCAGTTTGCTAGAACTTGACTATATAATCTATCCATCTGTCAGCAGACCCGGTCAGAACAGCACTGGATAAGCAGGGGTGCCTTTTAAGAGAACACACAGCTGCCCTGCAATTCGTTGGAGCCCAAGATGCGCTCATGACTCAGAGGCTCGACTGTGTTGCTCAGGTAGTTGAATCGATTAAGTCAAAATTATCCACTGTCCTCTCCCCTGCTGCAGCCCCTGCCTCTCCTGCCAAGCTCAGAGGGGTGGTGCCGGCTGCCCTGACTTTTATGGGGGCTGCTTTCTCTGTTGAAAGCATTTTCAGGAGAGGACTGTTGTTGCAGAGGGTTTCTGCTTTGACATGAGGAGAAGCTTATTTACTGTCTCGGCCAATTCCTGTGTGTTCCTACGAATTGTTTATTAAGGAGCTTAAGGGACCTTTGTTGCTGAACATGCCTGTTCTTTCACCTTCCTCATAAACCTTTGCTTTAGATCTTGTAGCATTCAATTTTTTAACCTCTTCCAAGCGTTCGATCTCTCTGCACTGCTTTTCCATTGCTTGCTGCCTTTCCAAGTTTTCATGTTCCAATTTTTGTAGTTCAGCTGCTTCCCTTTCTTGCTCCTCCATGACTGCTAATATTTCTTGAACAACCTTCAACCTCTGCTTCCATTGCTTCAATTGTTTGTGAGTATGACCGACCTGAACCACTTTTAGACCTTCGTGATTTTGACCTTGCTTTAATACTTTCAGATCCTAAGCACAGCCCAGCATCGGGCCTTTGGCAGTTTTTCAGCTCTTTTAACAATGAATGAGGAAAGTGATGTACATGCATCTATTTTGTGCCTTGCATCTGCAGCAGGGGTTTGTATTTGGTGTATTTGTTCATAAATGGTTTGTACATCTTCGCAGGTGACATTTGCGTTATTAATCAGCTCATTCAGTTCATTCTCTGAAACTTCTTTTCTTAATATTACTTTGCTTCATATCTCCATTTTCCAAAAACAACTGCATATCTGTATTGGAGACTTTCAAGTTTCTTCTTTTGAAGCTTTTTACCCTTTTCAGTTAGGTATTACTCTTTCGCTTTTACAAACGGTCTGCCGCTTTGTAAGTTGCTCAGCATCATTTTCTTCTGCTTCAGTAGGTGGAACAGCACAGTGCTCTTCATGATCGTTGTCAACCATCTTGTTAGTCTAGTTAAATGTCAGTCAAAGCATTATGTTTAAATTTCAAAAATACTTTAAATTTGTAACTTATTATATGTATCTCAAGTATTACTTTGGGATTACTGTTACTGTATACTTTAGCTGTAATGAGCTTCACTCTTAATACAGATGTACTTTAACTTAAAGAACTTTGTAAACTTCACATATAGTTTGACCTTAAGCAAACACACAAAACTCTTTCCTAAACTACAAAGCATCACTTTGAAACACTGTAGAAATTAAGTAACCTTTGACAAATGTGTTATAGAAACTTGTTGTGGATCTTTAAACTTGATTTTAACCACCCTTATTCTACTTTAAACACTGCCCTTTGTTAATTTTCACATTAATCCAGTTACCCAACGTTGCTGCTGCTGTGCTTGGCTGTTTGTGAACAGTGATCTTGTGTGATGGCGCCCTCTTGCGTCGCACCGCTGTACTGTCACTCACTGCTGCTGCCACCAGCAGCTTCTCACCAGCGCGGGCTAGGGCGAGTTTTTACTGCATCTCCAAAATGACAACACAGCACTGCTTCTTCAAGAAGGGCGCTTTGCTTTTATTTATTTATTTTTTTTAACACTGTGAAAATTACAAACATAAAACGCAAATGCTTTAGGCACTTCAGTCATTTAAAAGTAACCTCCCACTTTGGAGATCCTAGAGGAATAACCTTATAATCTTGTGCATTTGAAATGAACGTATAAAATAATTAGAACACCATAGATTATAAATTTGCACAATATTACAAGACAATTATAACAAATACCTTGTACAGCTAGTGGATGAACTAGACTGTTGCTGATGTCTCGCTGAAATCCTTTGCGTGTTTTTCAAACACAGGCCTCACAGTCTCTTAAAATTCACACCAATGTCATCAGTTAATGTGTTGTCAAATTTGTCTACTTATGTGGTGTGAATCCCAAAAACATTAATGCCAATGGTAATGCATCTACCCATGTCATTGTAGTGTAGCGGCATACGTATTTTGTCATTTTTTCTTTTCAGGGTTTGGTTTGCTTTCTACAATGGCCTGAGATGCCGGATGATATACTGCCCCAAATCGGTCTGTTATGCCTAGGGCTCTCTCAACTTTGATAGATGCTTATTATTGAAATGTGATGCATTACCTGTTGATTCTTGGTGATCCATATCTGGGTATTGATTCATTCCTCAGCCACTTTATTACAGTCTTTGCATCTTCTTTCTCCCAGGGAATCGCTTCCACCCATTCGGTGAATCTGTCCGCTATTACCAGTAGATATTGGTATCCCTTTGTTCTGTGTTCTCATGTCAGTAAAATCAGTGGCAATGTCCTTGAATGGACCATCTGGGACCGAAAACTTTCCCATGGAACACCTGTTTCGAGTTGTGGTCATTACAGGTGACACACTCAGCTTCGTGGTTACTCACAATGTTCTACCACAACTCCTCCATATTTCTTTGAGTTAGCTTTTTATTGACACGCACTTGCTTGATTAAAAGCTGGCAGAGTTTTGCTGGTGCCACTATTCTTCCATCAAGACCTCCATTTTTCTCTGCCTGGTCAGCTGCTTCATTTCCTTTAGCCACACATGCTGAGTTTCATTGGTGTCTCTTGCATTTCATGACAGCCACCTTCTTTGGAAGAAGGACTGCTTGGATCAGTTCTTCCAGTTGTTCCTTGGCAAGTGACTAGTTTTTGTCATGTTTCTTTATTCTCCCATGAATTATTCTTCATATTGATGTAGACATGCAGGCATGGTGTTTTAAACAAAACCTCACCACTTATTTATTTGCATATTGGACACGCAGCTGGATCAGTTAAATATGTTTTTAGAGAGACTATGTAAATGTAAAAACTTAAAGTTTAACCATGTGTCTTGGTTTACAATTGGCTGTATCTGTTTTTTACTATGTCATTTACCATGAACAGTTGTTGACTGCAAAATCTATGCCTGCCAGCCATCTGTAATTTCTTATGTGTTGTAAAATATTTTTACAGTGAAGTTCTGGCAACCACAGCTGCAAATATTTTATTGTAAATTCAACAGGTTTTTTTTTAACACTGTTCTTAAGCATGTTGACATGTTTGCATTACCTGAGATGAAAAAATACAGAGTAATTTGCCCCTCTACTTGCATTTGCACATACACATCTGTGCATGTACACAATAATGCACAAATAGTAACTGATGTCAAAGCAGTGAAAGCAGAGACAGGGGCAACGTCTAACACACCGGGGTCTTTTCAGTCTCTTGTTAAAGAGGACAGGTTTATTTATAATGGCCATATGCTAGTAGACATAAAATGCAGCCGCCCTCTCACCTTGCCTTTGTTCCAGCCTTCAACAGGAAACACACCCACAAAAATGATAGAGCAGCAAGTTCAATAGCTGTTGGTCTAGCTGACTTCAAGAGACAGTCACAAGATGGCAGTAATGTAAAATATCAATGTCAGTCGGCACTATGAGATTGATGTCTTTCTTTAGAATTCTCCGGGAAGGCGTTTGCTTGTGGTCAGGGAATGAGTATCCCCTGCTTAGTTCTCATATCTGATCCTATTGCGGACAATAATTTAGAAAATGGATTTAAAGAGCAATTTGCAGGTTGACAACCTCAGTGAATAAATGAGTAGAAAAATGAAGGAATATCTAAATTTACCAATCAAAAATTCAGTCAGTTTTTTGCTGAAAAATCAAACACTGTCTGATTCCAGCTTGCCAGTCCAGTGTACTACTGGTGCACCAAATGAAT